CTCCTCGTCTCCCTCCCCCCCTTCCCCTACAGTCAACCCGCATAGCAAGATTGAGCAACTTTCCAACGTTACCCTTGCATCCTTCCTTGACCGCTTTCGCTGGCCGCGCCACGCCTGCAAAGTGCCGACATGGCCTTCCGAGGCCCTTGCATCCTCATCGTGCGTCCTTATTCTACGGGTTGACTGTATCCCCCTCATCACGAAACCGTCCTCGCGAGCAGAGCATTAGGTCGGCGGCGAGCGAGGGGGGGAAGTGAGAAGGAGACTGCCTTCTCAGAAGGCGGCAGGACTTCTCAGAAGCCCTCTGGTCTTCTGAGAAATTCTCTGTGTCTTCGGGGAGGGCTCATAACACTTCTCAGAAGGCCGGGGGGACTTCTGAGCCTTCTGAGGAGGCCTTCTCCTTCTCACTTCCCCCCCGGGCTCGCCGCCGATATCGTGCGTCCTTCTTGTACGGGTTGACTGGACCGCCCTCGTCACGAAGCTGTCCTCGCGAGCAGAGCACTCGGGGGCCTTGTTCCAGGCCTCAGCGCCCTGGAGGAGACCCCCCCTCGGCCGCTTCTGTCTCCTGCCGGGGGAGGTCTTCCCGGTCAAACCGTGCCCCTGGGCCCCCGGCTACAGTCAAGACGCTGAACATCAGGAACAATTTGGGTTCGGAAGGGGCTTGATGTTCATTAGGTTCCTCCATTGCTGTTCCTCTTGCCATTCTGGAGCACGGAGGCGCTTTCAGGGCCAAGAGGGGGCTTCGTTCCTTATTTAGCGTTCCCTCTTTCAGCGGCCCGACTGCACACAACGACGGCTCCCACAATGGCGAGGGCGGGTACCGAGGGTTTGGGGACATACGCGTTGAATGGCAGACGAGCAGACAGGCGCGAGCAGTCTTAAACTTATTGTTCTTGTTGTTGCTGCTGTTGTTGTTGTTGTTGTGGTTGTTGTTGCTGTTGTTGCGGTTGTTGTTGTTGTTGTTGTGGTTGTGGTTGTTGTTGTTGTTGTTGTTGTTGTTGTTGTTGTTGTGATTGATGTTGTTGTTGTTGTTGTTGTTGTTGTTGTTGTTGTTGTTGTTGTTGTTGTTGTTGTTGTTGTTGTTGTTGTTGTTGTTGTTCTTCCTATTGTTGTTGTTGTTGTTGCTGTTGCTGTTGCTGTTGCTGTTGCTGTTGTTGTTGTTGTTGTTGTTGCTGTTGTTGCTGTTGCTGAGCAGGAGCGGGCGCCGGGCACCGGCGCTCCCCCCCACCTCCCCCCAACGACAACAACAACAACAACAACAGCGCGGACGGCTCCCGCTCCGGACTTCCTCGCGCAGTTCACCGAGGAATGATAGATTCCTACACGGGGGCCTCGGCGCCCCCCCCCCACACCCCTACGTCTCCGCACTCCCACGCCCCCGTGCGCTTCGTGCTTCAGGCCAAAGGCTCGAGTCCACGACGCCCCTTGGCGTCGCGTTGACGCCGCCCCGATTTGCCAGACCGCATATGCACAGATAGGCATAATACGTGTTTGAACGTTTGTTTCAGGACCCTGTCTATAGTAACAGACCCACGCTGGAAACCAAAGCGGCCCCCAGACACCCAAATGGACGCCCTGTAGGGATCCAGCCCGGCCTCCTCCCAGGTCCCCTACAAGACACGGTCACCCCATCGTCTCGGTCCGCCGTCGACTGAGGAAAGGATGATGATTACGATGAAGGTGATGATGATCATGATGACGGTGGTGGTGGTGATGATGATCATGATGCTGATGATACGGATGATCATGATGATGATGGTGGTGATGGTTGTTGTGGTGATGGTGATGATGATGGTGATGATGGTGATGATGGTGATGATGGTGATGATGGTGATGATGGTGATGATGATGTTTGTGAAGGTGGTGATGATGTTGTTGGTGATGATCATGATGATGATGGTGGTGATGATGGTGATGATCATGATGGTGATGATGGTGATGATGATGATTCTGCTGATTATGATCATTCTGATTATGATGATGATGATGGTGGTGGTGGTGGTGGTGTTGGTGTTCGTGGTGGAAATGGTGGTAGTGGTGGTGGTGATGATGATTCGGATCTCCTCTTACAAGACACGGTCAACAGCTGGTAGGATCCCTATACGTATCCTTTCACAGTTGGTAGGATTCCTATATGGGGTCCCATTACAACTGCTAGGATCCCCATAGCGATCCTTCTACAGCTGGTCGGATCCCTATGGGGATCCTAGTGCAACTGGTCGGATCCCTATAAGGTTCCTATTACAACTGGTAGGATTCCTGTATGGATCCCCTTGCAACTGGTAGGATCCCTGCAGGGATCCAGTCGCAGCTGGTAGCATCCCTATAGGGAAGTTATTGCAGCTGGTAGGACTCGTATGGGAATCCTATTGCAGCTGGTAGGATCCGTGTAGGAATCCTATTGCAGCTGGTAGGATCTCTGTAGTGATCTTATTGCAGCTGGTCGGACCCCTCAGGATCTTATTTGAGCTGGTAGGGTCCGTATATGGATCCTATTGCAGCTGGTAGGATCCTTATCGGGATCCTGTCGCAGCTGGTAGGATCCCTATAGAGATCTTATGCCAGCTGGTAGGATCCCTATAGGGACCCCGTTACAACTGGTAGGATCCGTATAGGAATCTGATGACAGCTTGTGGGATCCTTGTAGGGATCCGATTGCAGCTGGTAGGGTCGCTACAGGGATCCTATTACAGCTGGTCGGAGCCCTGTTGGGATCTTATTACAGCTGGTAGCATCCCCGTTGGTATCCTATTGCAGCTGGCAGGATCCCGTTTCGGTTCCTATGACAGCTGGTAGGATCTCGTTTGTGATCTTATTGCAGCTGGTAGGATCCTTAGAAAGATTTCATTTTCAGCTGGTAGGATCCCGATTCGGATCCTATGACAACTGGTAGGATTGAGAAGGATGATCCTCACAGGTTTTCAACACTATTTTTTGTTATAGGGTTTTTGTAGGATCCTCACCGGCTTTATGTAGGATCATTATAGGGTTTCTGTATGATCCTTCTCGGGTTTCTGTAGGATCCTTATAGGGTTTCTGTCGGATCCTTGTGGGCTTCTGTAGGATCCTTATCGGATTTCTGTAGGATCCTTGTAGGGTTTCTGTAGGATACTTGTATGATTTTTCTAATCGGATCCCTGTCGGGTTTCTCTGGGATCCCTGTAGGGTTTCTATAGGATCCTTGTTAGGGTTTCCATCTAATCCCTGTAGGGTTTGTTTTACATGCTCCTTTTTTTAATTTCTTGTTCTTTTTCTTCTTGAAAGTTATATATATATATGTAAAGAGAAAAATACAGAATAGGATCCCTGTCGGGTTTTTGTGGGGTCCCTGTACGGTTTCCGTCGGATCCGTGTAGGGTTTCCATCGCATATATATATATATATATATATATATATATATTTATACATATATATATATATATATATATATATCGGTGCCCTATATGGTTTCCATGGGGTGCCTGTAGGGTTTCTATAGGATGCCTTGTAGGGTTTCTGTTGGATGCCTGTAGGGTTTCTATAGGATGCCGGTAGGGTTTCTATCGGATGCCCTTTAGGGTTTCTATAGGATGCCTGTCGGGTTTCTGTAGGATCGTGTAGGGTTTCTCTAGGATGCTTGTAAGGTTTCTACAGGATGCCTCTAGGGTTTGTTTTGCCTGATCCCTGAAGGTTTTTTTTGATGGTTTCCCAGTCGGGTTTGTATCGGGTCCCTGTACGTTTCTATCGGATCCTTTATATATATATATATATCTATCAATATTATTATTACTGGTATTATTATGATTTTTAAACCACATACATAATTTCATGCATAAGCAATGCGTGTGTGTATATATATATATATACAAACATAAGTCGACGTGTATATATATACATAACATATTCTTTAACAGAAGGGTCCTTGTAGGGTTTTATCGGGTCCCTGCATTGTTTCAATCGGATCCCTGTAGGGTTTCTGTAGAATATCTGTCGGGTTTCTATCGGGCCCCTGTACGGTTTCTATAGGATGCTTGTAGGGTTTCTATAGGATGCCTTGTCGGTTTCTATAGGATGCCTGTAGAGTTTCTATAGGATGCCCGTAGGGTTTCTATATATAGGATGCCTTTCAGGGTTTCTGTAGGCTGCCTCGAGGGTTTCTATAGGATGCTTGTAGGGTTTCTACAGGATGCCTCTAGGGTTTCTATAGGATGCCTGTCGGGCTCTTATCGGATCCCTGTAGGGTTTCTATAGGATGCCTGTAGGGTTTCTATAGGGTGCCTGCCGGGTTTCTATAGGATGCCTGCAGGGTTTCTATAGGAAGCCTGTAGGGTTTCTATAGGACGCCTGTAGGGTTTCTATAGGATCCTTGTACGGTTTCTATAGGATCCCTTGTTTCCCTAGCGCGCACACGTAAGTCACCACTCCGATGCCGTACTGGAGTCCTGAGGGACTCCACCTTTTTCATTAATTCCCGGCGTTGTTGTTGTTGTTGTTGTTGTCTTTGTTGTTGAATTCCCATTTCTGAAGAATACTTATTGTTGATCCCCCCCGTCCGGTGCACATTGTTTTTTCGATTGAAGTGCCCTTCCCAGGGCTCGCATCCTGTTTAGTTATGGGGGAACGTCTCGAGGGCCAAACTGTGTCGTTGGCCCCCCGTTTACAACAACAACGGTTCCCGCTTGAGACTTCTTTATAATTTAGCTAGGACCCCCGCTCCCGCCCGAGACTTCCTCGCTTTTTATTCAGGAATCGCGCTCTCGCTTGGGACTTCCTTAGAATTTATTCTCCCGGCGCTCTGGAGTCGCGCTCTCGCTGGAGACTTGCTTGCAATTTACTGAAGAATAGCGCCCCTGCGTTGGAATCTCTTGCAATTTACTCAAGCGCCGCGCTCCCGACACCCAGGCAGCCAGGAGTCACGCTCACGCTTAGGAGTCCCTCACAGATTACATAGGAATCGGGATCTCGCTGCCCTTCGTGGCCCCGTTGCAGCCTTTCGTGGCCCCCTCGCTTTGTTTCGTGGC